ATCTTCAAAGAACGGTGCCACCACTAAACTGGTTAGTGATTTTATTTAAGAATGTGATTTTCTAAGTCTTTTTCACTAAGTTTTGGAAACACATCAGATCTGATGAGTGCAAAGCCAGGGCTATACAGGGTGTTTTCAAAGTTGAATCATTTACTTTAACTGCCTGTAGGACTCGTCAAAAGAAGTTGATATATGAAAAATCACCTATATAAAAGTTGCATAATAAGAGTTAGTTTGCGGTTGCGACAATGCCCCAAATTAAGGGCCTTAAGTGGTCAAGAAAAGAACTACAAAAAAGAAAAGAGTGAACCACGAGGCACTAAAATGGTGATTACCTTAGTGCCGACATCGACAGGGGCCCCTGGTCTCTTCTGGAATTTCTTAACAACCACTTGCACAGGAATTAGCGTTTATTACATATGGTGGTTTCACAAGAAAAAAAACAGCGTCAGCGCGAAAACGGAGTTATTCTAACTGCCGTTCTAGCGATTCTTCTTCTCTCCTTGCGGTAAGAGCGCGCACCTCCTCTTCCTTTCAAAAACCCATAGGCGCGACCCAATTTAGTGCCGAGAAAAACAGCGGCGGAGCAACCAATTGAAATTGAGGTAAAATTGGCATTGCGATCGCAACAATTTACATTATTAAAAATCATTTTTGAAAATTATCATCAAGTTAAATGGATACCGTCTATACCCAAACTGTTCAAAATTGTCCTAATTTGTTTGATTGACGGAAAATCTTTCTCGGCGAATCTACGACTCTTTACAAGCTTCGAAAATAAAATTCTGGTGTCCACGAATTGAATCGCAAGCTTTTTCAATGCACTGTTAGAGTTCTTCCAGAGTATTTTCTGCTCCATCATGATACAATAACTCTCACAGAAAAAACATTGCAAGGCGTTAAATCCGAGTAGCGTGCAGGTCAAGAAATGAGTTCGTTGAGTCCTATCCATCTATTCGGAAACTCATTATTTAAATATTCATGAACTTCTTGTCTAAAATGTGGTGGAGCCCCATCATGTAGGAACCACACGTTCTGTCTCACATTTAGAGGAACACTTTCTAATCATTGTGACAGATTGTGCAGAAGAAAATCTAAAAAAAAATCACCGGTCAGTAGAGGTGAAAATAGTAGGGTTCAATAAGCATGTCATTTACCATGCCAGCCTAAATATTTAATGTTGAAAATAAGTCCTTTTTTGCGGCTGCATTTTGTTGTTAGTAATATGTACACTAGTTCATTGTTCTCGTAAGCATGGGCCATTTAATAATCAGACAAAATTATACGCACTATTAAAAGAATGATACAACTGATCGAACCAAAGACTTGTACTTCTTTTAGCGAGTCCTACAAGCAGTTACAATAAATCATTCAACTTTGAAAACACCCTGTATATGTAAAGGTAAGAACCTTTTTTATTAAGTTTAAAGTTTTTTGTTTATTTTAAAAACATTTATATAAAGGGTTGTCCAATAGGGACGCAGGAAAGTAAACGTCAATTTGACATAGACGCCATCTTTGTTTTCTGTCACCGACATGTCATTTTGTTAGTTGAATGTTTACCATTGATCGCTATGGAGTCGTATTCGATTGAAGACCGCATTAAAGTTATTCAAGAGCACTACAAAAATGGTGCAAAAATAAAAAACACGTTTCGCGCGCTTCGTGAACATTTCGGTCGCAACAACCGCCCAAACGAAACAACCATCGGTCGTCTGGTGCGTAAATTCGAGGCAACAGGTTCTGTGGCAAATCTGCCAGGCTCTGGCCGGCCGAGGAGCGTTCGCACACCGGAAAATATTGCTGTTCTGAAGGAGAGTGTGAGAGACGATCCGAAACAATCAACAACGCGTCGATCCCAAGAATTGGGCATTTCGAGAACCAGTTTGCTCCGCATTCTCCACAAGGATTTGAATGTATGGTATATCTGAAGTCACTTGAAATAGCATAAAAACCTTTGGTCGGCGCGTCCTTTGTAATTTCATAACGTATCATAGGCGTGCGGTGATTTATTTAGAACGATAATAATAATGTTTTTATATGACAATAAATGGATTTTACTATCTTCTTATTTTTTTGATTTGGGATGAAAAATACTTATATTGGGAGTTTAATTTATGTTGACTGAAAGTTAAGAAATGGAAAAATTACAGAATTCCAACGTTTGACATAGGCAAATATTTACATAGCAGGTAGGTATATAAAAAGGTATATAAAGACTTACACTATAGGTATTTATATATAATCCTCGCCTTCGGAGCTGTCGCTAGAGTCATCTTGTAGAGGAATTACAACGGGATTTACAGGAGGCAAAACACAATATTCATTTTCTTTTTCAATAATATGCCTAGAACACTGCTTCCATAGGTCTGTGGCAGCAATATGAGATACTGCATCTCTTATTGTGGCCAATAGCGATTCACTTAATTGAGGGGTCTGATTATGTTTTCTTACTTTTTTTTAAAGCAGCCCAGACCAACTCAATCGGGTTAAAAATGCAGTAATAGGGAGGTAGACGTAATACTTCATGGCCATTTTGCTGAAGCAGATTGTCAACAACATACTCTTTTACAAATTTTTGTCTTTTAATAAGATCAAATAATATGGCTTTGGTTGATTTTTGTGGTATTTCCATTCCCTTAGCCTTCATAAAATCAATAATGTCTTGTTTTTTTGTGCCTGTATTCCGAATTTTGTTTTTCTGTCGGGAATGGTATGGCGCATTGTCCATAATAATCACTGAATTTGGGGAAATGTTTGGTATTAACTGCTGCTCTATCCACTTTTCAAATAAGTCGGAGGTCATGTCCTCATGATAGTCGGCACATGATTCTTTGATATTTTTGGCAGATAACAGCAAGGCATTAGGTATAAATCCATTTTCACTGCCAGCATGGAGAATAATGATTCGTTTTCCACGGTTGCATGGTGCATTTAAAATGCACTTGTTGCTGTCGTCAACCCAGCCGTACTGCACAACATCATGGGTATCATACCACGTTTCATCCAGGTAAATCAGATTTCTTTTCTGCTCTCTATAGATTTTAACTTTGTGCAAAAATTCTTGGCGCAATTCAACGATTCGAGACGACTCCATAATCACCATTCTTTTATCTAATTTTTTGTATTGAAAACCATACAGTTTTACAATACAGTGCAGTGAGTCTAAGCATTTGTAATTATAAAAATCTTCAGGATAATCTTTTAATTTATCCCGTATCATTTCCAACGTGGGCACCAAATTTTCTTTATAAAATCCGTATATTATACGACGAATATCTTCCTGAAAACCCACGTCTATTCATTTTAATTTTTGCCCTATGCGCTTTCTGTGGAAGGAATGGTTGACTACATCTCCCCTTTTTATAACCCGATAAATGGTAGACCGACTGATTTTTGTCAGGATACAAATTCTGTTTAAAATTTGATTTTGCGAGGAATCTGGATTTTCGTTTTTCAGACAATCATACATATTTAGGATTACTCTTTGGGTCTGTTTCTCTAAATCTTTATGAAAGAATTCTGCCTGCACAGGTTCATCAACCATCTCCTCGTGGCTTGGAGCATTTTCCCAAGGTCTCCAAAGAGCCATATTTAGGACACACAAGAACAATCAACACAACAATTAAATCAACAAGTAAACTGAGTATTCAAAAGTCAAAAACACACAAACTAATAAAATCTATGAAAAAATACGGACAGACTAAAGAAAACACGTTTATTCACCGCTACACGGCACTGGCTAAACTGTTTCAATTTTCAGTAGCCACCTGCACTTTTTCGGAGCTCTGAAATACACGCTTTCTCATTGGCTATGTCCACGCATAGGCGTGCTTTACTCCACGTGGACCCGTGAAACTGCCTTTGATCTTATACGGGGGATATTTGCTGCGAAATTTGGCGATTTTTGCAGCAACAGAGCGTGTTAAATATAGATATATAAAACGCACCCGGTATTTCACAGTGTTTCAAGTGACTTCAGATAAAGTATACACGCCTAAAAGATCCAATTGACGCAAGAGCTGCGTCGGGCCGAACATTTTTCGCGCCGAACGTTCTCAAATGCTCCTTGAACACCGCCAAATTGATGCCAATTTTTCATCAAAAATCATGTTCAGCGACGAAGCGCATTTCACTTTGAATGGGACGGTAAACAAGCAAAACTGCCGCATCTGGGCGAACGAAAATCCCCGTGAGTATCAAGAGCAGCCGATGTATCCTCAAAAGTGACTTTGTGGTGTGCATTGTGGTCCAAAGGCACCATCGGACCTTACTTTTTCGAAAATGCGGCCGGGGACGCCGTTACTGTCAATTCTGAGCGATATCTCGTGATGATAGAGGACTATTTTTCGCCGCAACTTGAAGGAATGGATATGGACGATGTTTATTTCCAACAAGACGGTGCAACATGCCACACAACCAACGTCAATATCCATCGATTGCAGTCCTTCTTCGGTGATCGCGTGATTTCGCCCAGAGGAAATGTGCCATGGCCACCAAGATCGTGCGATTTGACTCCCTTGGACTTCTTTTTATGGGGATATTTGGAAAGCAAAGTCTACGTCAACAAACCAGCCCCCCTCCAAGAACTGAAAAACAACATCATTGCCGAGATAAATGCCATAGAACCGAGCATGTTGCAAAATGTCATTGAAAATTTCGACCATCGCGTGGACGTCTGTAAATCCAGTCGTGGTGAACATTTGAGCGATATTATTTATCATACATAATATAAATGAACCTTCAAAATAAAGTACCTAACTTGATTTGAATATCAATCTTTCTTGTTTTAATATGCGTTTACTTTCCTGCGTCCGTTTTGGACAACCCCATACAGATACTTTTGAAATGTCCCAGTTTCTCTAATATATTCAGTTTTAATTAAAAACAGGTATGTGTTGTATTTTTTTACATAGACACCCCTCTTGAACGGACACTTTCAGTTGGAACCGTTGATGTTTGTCCAAAGGAGATTTCACTGTATAGATAATAATACGAACCTCTGTTCAGGCGATACTTTCTATGCTTCTCTAATAAATTAATACCAGCCAGTCTTTTGATCTCCTCCTCGTGTAGAACGCCCTGGTCGGGACATTGAGCATCTGGGCACGAAATGTCGTACGCACCCTCGGCTATTTCGAACTCTACATACGCCTTCATACACTGGAACAAAACAGATCCTCGTTATTTCGGTAATTGCGGTTACAGCCCAAAGAAATAGTATAGCTCGGAATGAAAGATGACAATCTTGAAAGCTTGGACCTTTGCTTGGACGGTCTTTAACTTGGATGGAAAGTCTAATATAACCTCGAAACGGCGTCAGTATTTTAAGTTTTTCTTATCGTCCACATCGGGTGCTACCTCTCACAGCTGAACATCGGCGTATCCGTTTGCTCTGGTGTAGAGAAAGAATTCTTTGAGACCGGCAATGGAATCAGGTCGTCCTTAGTGATGAATCCCGCTTCTGTCATGCTCGATGGTTGGACAAGAGTGAGAAGGCAACGTGCTGAAAGACGTGACCTACAATTTAAGAGAGAGCGTCACGTTCATCACACCATGGGTGTTATGGTATGAGGCGCTATTGCTTATGGTAGCAGATCACCACTAATTTTCATCAAAGGCAATATGACACCCCGACGCTATATTCAGGAAGTAGTGGAGCCTCATCTTATTCCATACTTAAACACCACCCAAAACCCGATTTTTCAGCAAGACAATGTCAGACTGCATGTTGCCACATCGCATCAACCGTTTACTTTGACCACCACGATCGCGTGACCTATCTCCAATTGAACATGTCTGGGACATGATAGGTCGCAGGCTCTTGGGTTTGCAACAGCCCCCACAGACTTTAGCAGCTCTTACTCACGAAGTCGTAGTAGCCTGGAATGAGATACCCCAACAGGATATCGACCACCTTATCAGCACGATGTCCACGCGTGTCAATGGGTGTATAAGAAAACGTGGATCGTCAACACATTATTGAACCAGCTTCTGCAGTCAGTTGACGAATCAAGCTGAAAATTTAATCATTTTACTAGTAAGAGACACTGATCGTATATGCCAAAAATTATTAAAATCGGATAAACATACGTAGGTATTTACCTTTTTTGTCACTCTATATATATTTGCTCCTAACAAACAAGTTTTGGCTGGAACACTGTGATTTTACAGATAATTTGCGCTTATATATGCATTTGTATAAGAGACACTAATAGAGCTCGGCCACTTTCCGAATTAAAAACCTGCCGCCAAGATATCTGCCTTTCATAAGATTCACCTGTTTTATGCATCATGTAAGCATACGCAATATTTCAAACACATTTTGCATGCCAGTTCAACCCGAACTCTTTCTAGAAGTCTCAGAAGCTGCCCGAAGTGTGAGATTCTCCAGAAACTAAAACCCCTCCGTCGTTAGCCACATGTCCCACCACGGTCAACCCACCTACCACATTGGAGTAGGTGATTAGGAATATCCTCCTGTTCATTGTAGTATACGCAATTCCCAATCCGCACCGCTTCCTTGTCAATTCAAGTTTTAATATCTGGGATCAGCCTTTTGGTCCACGCGCAATGCCCAGTTGCATCCCATCTATACTGACATCTGACCTCTCTTTCGTCGCTTGTAGCTTCGACTCCCTTTTTATAGAGCGCGCATCTCTCCGTAGCCACCAAATCAATTGGTGGGATACCAGCCACCACCAGCAGTGAATCGATGGACACTGTGCTGTAAGCGCATAATACGCGTAGTGCTACCCCTCGCTGGCTTCTCATTATTAGCTGTCTATACAGGGTGTCCGCAAAGTTGGGGTTTTCCTTTTCAGAAACAACTACCCTTGAAATAACAAAGGTAATGTGTAGTGAAATAAGGGCGACCAAGTGAAAAAAAAAATAAAGGAAAAAGTACTCACTCTCCAGTTGACGAGAAGGGCTAAGTACGTATCTGCCCGATATCATACCGCTCCAACAGAAAATGAAATCAGCTGAAGCGCTACTGAGCAGACGCAGAAACCACATTGATTGTCTTACACTTAATGGCACATCTTCTAACAAGGAAGGAGAAATGTTGCGTAAAAAGTCTAGGTCTAGGTTCACCATGCCAGCCCAAACATTCACCGAAAATGTTTGTTGAAAATGTGCCCGACGGACAGCGTGCGGATTTTCTATTGACCAAACATGAGTGTTGCGAAAGTTATTCACCCCATTACGCGTGAACGTAGATTCGTCTGTCACCAATATGCACTTCAAAAAGTCCGGATTATTGTCATGTTGATGCAACAACCACTCACAAAACCGTACTCTTGCTAGAAAATCGTCAGGTTGAAGGGCTTGTACACGTTGGACGTGAAACGGATACAGCCCCTTTTCACGCAGCGTTTGCCACACTTTAGTTTTTGATACTTGCACTTCTCTAGCCACGTCTCTAGTGTTTGTTGTTTTTTGAAACGCAATCGATTATACGGATTCGTTTACCTCTACACGCGTGACCGTAACCGTCGGTTGAAGGTTGCATACTGACCTGACACACTGACCCCGACCCAGTTCTGTCGTCGGGTTGAGCTAGTGTCCTAGTACCACTCGGGGATATCGCGAGTCGCGGCTACAGGACGGTATTCAGATATTTTTGATGTTGCAGAGCCCTTTATCTCGGTTCCCTCAAGACATTGGTATATATGGTACTAAGAAAAATTGCTGATGTTTTCGAGATCTACACGTCGTGTAAAGGAAAACCCCAACTTTGCGGACACCCTGTATTGCTTATTCAACAAGGCCTTCCCACCACGGATTTATCGAAAACCACTGATTAAAAGAAAAAACGCCGAGACACTTCAGTTTGTCAAGGTGACCCCCCCCCCCAGCTGCAGCTGCAGCATTCCCTTAAAAGTTTTAAACAACAAGGAGTATCGAGTAATATCTTGTTTGAAAGGTCTTTCGAAGTCCTCTACTTGATGTTTTAAAATCAGTCGATTCGTTCCAACATATCCAAATAAATGTCTCCATTCAAATGTCTATTAATGAACAATGGTCCAATCACTTTTCTCCTAAAATGCCTGCCCATACATTAATTTACTACTGTGCATTGATCACTGAATGGTATTATCATTAATCGCTGCAGTCATTTGTTCCTTGCCTATCGAAATTATGTTCGGTTAATTCTTGCAATATTTTCATTTTTAATGGATGATACTTATGGAGTTCAGTAGTTGTTGTGTGTACAGAGCCTAATGAAATACAAGTCGCAGCAACAATTTTGCGTAATGAAATAAATGGTGTTTTTTTCGAGGTATAGAGCTTTAAGTTGGCGTTACTTTTGAAGATGGCGACCGATTTGACAGCTGTCAAGTGATTTATTCTCAGTTTGGTTTGGCAATTCATCATGAATAGACTCACGCCTGATCAACGCTTGCACATTGCGCAATTTTATTTCGAAAATAATGGTTCTGTGCGGAATACGTATCGCGCACTACGTCCATTTTATCGTCGACAAAATCGTCCATCGGAGCAGATAATTCGATTAACCATGGAACGTTTACTCTAAATAATAACTCGCATCCCCAGAGACGCCGTACGGTGCGTACAGAAGAAGCTATTGCTACTGTAGAGCGTAGCATTAACACTAGTATATGAAAGGCAATAACTAAAAATATACGTACTGCTCAGTTCTGAGAAACTGCTTTCTTCACAAAAACTAAGGGATGACATTTTAACAAAAGTAAACAAAAACATCAACAACAAAACAAGTTGAAGAAATTAATATATTTTCTGTGTGTAACACTTCTAATGATACTGAGTATATCTGAAATACGGTTAGACTACCAACTCACCTCGTTACAGAACTCGCATCCGCACTGTTCGATTTTGATAGTGTCCTCGCCGGGCACGGCTCCCAGACACAGCTTGCACAGCAGTGACGACTGCACGGTGGGAGAGTCATCGGTAGTAGGGGGCGTGACCACTGGCACGAACCCGCCCGTCGTCGAATTAAGCGAGCAGCGGGAGGCGGAAGCCAGCGTCAAGAGGGAGGAGCATCGCGAGCAAAGGCGGGATTGGCTGCTGGGCGACACGGGACGAAGACGGTTGCGCGGCTGTACGGGCTCGATGCTCGAAGACGACGATGAGGATCTGGAAGAGGATGATACTGGTCAAAAAACCGAAAAATATAGTGTAGTCCAGGAGCAGCCACTAAAGTGACGGATTCCCTTATATAGCAATATGTATTTTCTCTATAAATACAGGTCACATGAAATGAGTAAATAAATATAATGTATTTATAGGACATTGCCTGTGCACGAATTCCAATAGATAAGACCAGAAAGAATAGAGAGAAAAATATAATTATTTGTAAGAATGATAGTATTTACTGTGTAATATCTGGGATTATTCCATTAATGTTGTTTCTCCCAAGCGTGTTAATACATTTTTTTGAAACACTGTATTGCGTAATTGTTTTAAATTATTTGGTAAATTATGTTTGTTTAAGATTCATTTAGCATGGTTGCTACAAATACATTCCTCTAAAAAACTACAACAATTACATAACATACAGATGTTTTGAAAAAATGCATCTCTAAGAATTTTCACTGTCCATGAAATATTCTTTTAAGTTTCTTTTAAAAATCATTATTTGTTTATTAAATTCAACTAATTCTTTCTGAAATATTGATTTGCTAGTTATATTACTACTGCAATTTTGTAAATGAAAATCTATATTTCATATTGTATAATAACTGTGGTAATGAGTATTTAATTCTATGTGGTGTTCCAAAAGATGTGGCAAAAACGATTTTTTATTTTAAATACAGGGTGTCCGCAAAGTTGGGGTTTTCCTTTTCAGAAACAACTACCCTTGAAATAACAAAGCGAAACGAGGGCGACCAAGTAAAAAAAAATAAAGGAAAAAGTACTCACTCTCCAGTTGACGAGAAGGGCTAAGTACGTCTCTGCCTGAAATCGAAAGTTATTCACCCCATTACGCGTGAACGTAGATTCGTCTGTCACCAATATGCACTTCAAAAAGTCCGGATTATTGTCATGTTGATGCAAAAACCACTCACAAACCGCACTCTTGCTGGAAAATCGTCAGGTTGAAGAACTTGTACACGTTGGACGTTTGCCACACTTTAGTTTTTGATACTTGCACTTCTCTAGCCACGTCTCTAGTGCTTGTTGAGGGATTCTCGTCTACGCGATTCAGTAGTTCTTCCTCAACTTGCACCATTCGTGGTTGTTCAGGCCCCCCACTGTGCCCACCTCGAAATTCCTTCAAATGGCCCGTATCCCTGACTCTCTGGAACAGGTACACAAATCTGCGGGGCCTTGGACGATGTCGTCTAGGGAAACGATCTGCATACACTCGCGACGATTCTGTAGCATTTTGAAGACATTCGCCATAAATTAACAACATATCAACGAGTTCATTATTGGTGTATGAGTGTGCCATTATTATTATTTTTTTTTTGAAACGCAATCGATTATACGGGTTCGTTACCTCTATACGCGTGACCCTTTACCGTCGGTTGAAGGTTGCATACTGACCTGACACACGGACCCCGACCCCCGACCCAGTTCTGTCGTCGGGTTCAGCTAGTAGCCGGTACCAGTCTGGGATATCGCGGCGGGTCGCGGCTACAGGACGGTATTCAGATATTTTTGATGTTGCAGAGCCCTTTATCTCGGTTCCCTTAAGACATTGTGTATATGGTACTAAGAAAAATTGCTTATGTTTTCAAGATCTACACGTCGTGTAAAGGAAAACCCCAACTTTGCGGACACCCTGTATAAAAATAAAAACCAAATATGATATGAATTTTTTATACAGGGTGTAAACGTTATGATAGTCACTATTTAATGGGTGATAGAGGAGATTAAAAGAAGCAAAAAGTTTCATATAACATGGGCGTCAAAACGGCACTTTTTTAGAGAAAAGCGACTTTAAAGTAAAATAAAATCTGCCAACGACGCAATGCCAGACGCAAATTACGACGGAACGCAGTGTAAATAAAGATGGAGTTTGTTATTTTTGGCACTTAGGTATTATTTCATTATTTGATAATGTACTCGTAAAATGCAAATAATTAAAAAAACGGACTTACCACTAACTGTCTCAGCGCTTCACCTGGTGTGTGAAAGTTTATTGAACGTATTAAAAAAATCCACTGATAAATAGGAAACACAATTTTGATACATACATTGTATTTCTTTTGAAAACCCACACTGCACTTTTTTGTATATAAAGAAGGTGTTCAAAATATCGTCCTCCACTTTCCACACAAGCTTCATTACAAACTTCTCGAATGGTATGAGGATTTTCTTAAGCCCACGTGTTAGTATTATGGAAATTTAATATCCCGTCCCGAAACCGGAAAATTAATTTTTATAAAGTTTTATTTTGGAGACCAGTGTTTGTTACAAGCAGGAGTACAAGACTGAACTAGCTGAATTCAAAAGATAACAATAAAAAATTAAAAATGTCCATCTTGCAAAATCTACCAAGGTCAAGCTCCGTTCATTGTGCCGAAACACGATATGCATGTCCGGTATGGACACATAACTCGGGTAATACACAACAGAGTGTAGGGTTTACCGTCGACTTTGTTTGGCTAAATTAGCAACAATTTTTACTTAGATTCCTCATCCGCGTCGTCGTCAAACAGAGATAAGATAGAGACCTCATCCGTCAAATACCGTAAATGTTGGCAGAACTTTTGTAAAGCAGCTTTTCAAATGGAAATGGCAATTCTGACGTAATCCTTCAATGCCTTTAAAAAGTATAAATCCTGATTAGATGCTTTTATCGCCTAAAGTGCATTGGAACCACTGTTTCGAGTATGTTGTCACGATGAACAAGCAGATATCCAACAGATCCTTAATAAAAAGTTTGAGCTGGGAACTGAGTAAGGCTATGTTTAATAAACAGATTACTCTGGTCATCCATCGAGCTTGATGCATGGCGCCTGGCGGTCGAATCTTAAACTTTTTCTCTAGATTTCTAGCAGCTTGTCAGTCTCTGAAATATTCAGGCATGATAGCTTTTCGGTATAAATCTGTATATTTCGAGATTCACACTTCTCCAGCTGTCGCAAAACTTTTTAAACATTGGAATGTCAGGGCTTGTAGTCACTTGGTCGACGCTTTTCAACACCAATTCATAGACATGATGGCGACAAGCAAAAATCGGTAGACGTTTTTCTTTAGACTTGTGTGCATTTAAAGGTAGCATGAATTTGCCATACCAGTGGACAGTTCGCGGTACCCCGTTTTGGAAATAAACCTTTATAGCTGCTGCGTGCTTTTTCGCTTTTCGGTACGAATTCTGTGAACGGAGGACTTGCTTATAGGAAACGTCAATGTTGAGTTCGAAAGCCTCAATCGTTGCTTCAATAATCAAAACAGCATTACTCGTACTTAACCGACACCTATCTAATGCTGCCACTAATTTTAGAATTATGAATTTGTGATACAGGGTGTTTCAGTTTATTGTTGCATAACTTTAAGATTCGATAGAACTTTTAAAATTAATGTGTATGCCGCTAGAGGGCGCTCTCTACTGTACCTGTAGTGTATTAAAATGACCGAAATTTTTTTCTTAGTGCAATTTTTTGCTTTTTGAATAAAAAAACTGATTGTCCGCACTTTTCAACATAAAAAAGCTCTCTTGTGAATTTTCGTTATAGTTAGCCGTTTCTGAGATATTTCGATTTTTAGGGTTCGATGCATTTTTAATCATTTATGATAAAATAACGTTAAAAAGTCAGTATCTCGATAATTTTTAGAAGTAGGCTGTGCCTGCAAATATTTTTGAAATTGAAAGCAGAATAAGGTTAAACGTCAATTAGTTGACAGATAGTTTTGTTGTCTGTTGATACCTGAAACGGTTTTTTGCAATTGTGAATGCACGAAATTTAGTTTCTTTTACCTTTTTTTTGTAAGTTTTATAAAAATGCCATTTTTATTCTCCAATCAAGAGTTAGCGGATATTCATTTTGTGTATGGCTTTGTAAATGGAAACGCAGCAGAAGCAGCCAGAGATTAAGCACGAAGATTTCCAAACAGACGACATCCAACTCGCTCAGTATTTGTAAGAGTACATCGCCAAATAATTGAAAATGGTTTTGGAAATCTCCAAAGGGATGAAAACATAAATGTTCGTCAGCGCAGATTTACCCGTATGATTCTGCGTGAGTTTGATAGAGATTCGACCACAAGTGTTAGGAGAGTTTCTGGTGCCTTGGGAATTTCAGCAAGCCATGTTCACCGTGTTCTTAGAAATGACCATAGACGTCCTTACCATTTGCAACCTGTGCAAGGACTACAACCAGGGGACCGAGAACGAAGAATCACATTTTGTCAGTGGATTCTTGATAGAACTGATAATAATAGGGAGTTTTTAAGTAATGGACCGATGAGTCATGCTTCACTAGACGTGGAGTAGTAAATTTTCATAATCAACATATTTGGCCGCATGAAAATCCGCATGCAGTTCGGGAAAGATATTTTCAGCATGAATTTAGTGTGAACGTGTGGATTGGTATCTACCATAATCGACTATTTGGACCCTACCTTTTGCCTGCAAGGTTAAATGCTGCGACCTTCTTGGAATTTTTAAAGGCTGAACATGCAAATATGTGGGATGATGTTATGTTAGATTTAAGAAGATTGGCCTGGTTCCAGCTTGATGGTTGTCCAGCTCATTATTCGAGAATAGTTAGAAACTGGCTGGACGAAAATTATCCAGAAAGATGGATCGGCCGTGGAGGACCAGTCGCCTGGCCTCCACGATCCCCTGACCTAAATCCTTTAGATTTCTTTGTGTGGGGACTTCTAAAAGAAAAAGTGTACCAGACTCCCGTAACCACAAGAGATATGCTAATAGACAGAATCAGGAATGCATGTGATGAAATAAGGCCTTATTTGAATAATGATGCGAAGAATCAGTTTTTTTATTAAAAAAGCAAAAAATTACAATTTTCGGTCATTTTAATACACTACAGGTACAGTAGAGAGCGCCCTCTAGTGGCTACAGTAAAACTATACCCATGGTTCGTTTTGTCGTACCAAAAAACATACTTCTGCACTTTGTCGAACAAGAAGCGTCCTAGCGTTCTGTCAGACAGATCCGCCTC